CGCCATCAGCTCTCTGACGTTGATGTGGAGGGCTAGTTGGGCAACGGACCAGAGGCCCTGGGTATGGTGCTCTCCGAGGTGAGCGCCCCATCCTAGAGATGAAGCATCCGTGACTAGGTGGAGGGAGGGTTGTGGGTCGTGAAAGGGTACTCCTGCACAGACCACCGTACGATCCGTCCACCAGGTGAGGGAGGCCCGGACCGAGGCCGGAACCGTAACCACCATATTCAGGTCGTCTCGATGAGGACGGTAGACCGATGACAGCCAAGCCTGCAGTGGGCGAAGTCGTAGCCTGGCGTGCCTGGTCACGTACGTGCACGAGGCCATGTGGCCCAATAGGGCAAGGCAAGTCCTTACGGTGGTGATTGGAAAAGTCCTGAGTCCTTGAATGACGCTTAGGATGGACTGAAAGCGGTTGTCGGGAAGGATAGCTTGGGCGCGTCTGGAGTCCAGGACTGCCCCGATAAACTCTATCCTCTGAGTTGGTACCAGGGTGGATTTTTCTCTGTTGAGTAGAATGCCCAACTCGTGGAAAGTGTGTGTCACCATGCGGACATGAGCCTGCACTTGGTCTCTGGTGCGGCCGCGTACCAGCCAGTCGTCCAAGTACGGGAACAGCTGTATCCCTTGTCGACGAAGGAAGGCCGCGACGACTGCCAGACACTTTGTGAACACTCTGGGAGCCGAAGACAAGCCGAAGGGAAGGACTGCAAATTGGTAGTGCATTGCGCCTACTACAAATCGTAGGAAGCGCCTGTGAGGCGGATAGATCGCTATGTGAAAATAAGCGTCCTTCATGTCGAGGGCGGCGAACCAGTCTCCAGGATCCAGTGAAGGGATGATGGTCCCCAATGAAACCATGCGGAACTTCAACTTTACTATGAATTTGTTGAGTCCGCGCAAGTCTAAGATGGGCCGTAGACCCCCTTTTGACTTGGGGATCAGGAAGTAGCGGGAGTAAAACCCCCTGCCCCTTAGCTCCGATGGAACCTCCTCTATGGCCCCCAAAGAGAGGAGCCCAAAAACCTCCTGTGTAAGGAGTTGCTCGTGAGAGGGGTCCCTGAAGAGGGACGGGGAGGGGGAGTGGGAGGGGGGGGGCGCGGAAAATTGGAGGGCGTATCCCCTCTCCACCGTGCGAAGGACCCAGCGGTCCGAGGTTATAAGGGACCAAGCACGGTGGAAGCGGGAGAGGTTTGTAAGGAGGTGCGCGCCACCCGCATACCCTCCTCTACCAAAGCCCCAAACTCCTCCCTCGATTCCTGGGGAACCAGCTCCTTGAATTTCCCCATCGAGGACCAGGAGTTGAAGGAGTAGCGGCTCAGGAGCGCCTGCTGGTTGGCCGCTCGGAGTTGGAGCCCCCCCGCCGAGTAGACCTTGCGTCCGAACAAGTCGAAGCGCTTAGCGTCCTTCGACTTGGGCGCAGCGGCCTGCTGGCCATGGCGCTCCCGTGCATTCACCGATGATACCACCAGTGAGCACGGCTGAGGATGGGTATACAGATATTCATGGTCTTTGGAGGGGACAAAGTACTTCCGCTCCACTCCTCTGGCCGTGGGTGGAATCGAGGCCGGGGTTTGCCAGATGGTGGTGGCATTGGCTTGAATGGTCGGGATCAACGGTAACGCCACGCGAGAGGGAGCGTCCGCTGACAAGATATTTACAATGGGGTCGTGCACCTCCACGATCTCCTCCGTTTGGAGGTCCATATTGCGCGCCACCCTTCGCAAGAGGTCCTGGTGCGCTCGCAGGTCAATAGGAGGCGGACCCATGGCGGATGTGCCCGCTACCGCCTCATCGGGGGAGGAGGAGGAGGAAGATCCCCCCGGTGGCAAGGGGTCCAAGGGTGGTTCCTGCTCCAGTTGTTCCTGCTGAACGTCAGCAGACCCTGGGACCAGGGCCTCCACCGGAGTGGGCACCGGCGCCTCCATACCACCTGGTGGGGGGCGGGAGATGGTGGCCTCCGGGACCCTGGGCTCGGAGCGTGCCGAGCGGGACGCAGAAGGAGGGGCGCCTTGCGCCTGGTGGTAGGCCCACGGCGTCCAGAAGGACCAATGCGCAGGAGCTTGCGTAGGGTCCTCCGCTGTCTCCTCCAGGTGGGTGGCCTCCGCCTCCGAGGAACGGGACGCCGACCTCGATGGCCACGGCGGTGCCGAGCGCACCGACACCGGCACCGGATGGTACGGTGCCGATCGGTGCCGGTCGTAGGGCGATCTGTCCCTGCCCGGTGCCGGGAAACGGTGCCGAGATCCAGATCGGGATCGGTGCCGGTAGTCTCTTCGGTGCCGAGAGCCCGATCTGGAGCGGGACGAAGATCTCGAGGAGGCCCGGTACCGGGAGCGGCCTCTCGAGCCCGAGCGGCGCTCATACCGGTGCCGGGAGCTCCTCCTTGAGCCCGAGCGGTGCCGGTCGTCACGACGGTGCCGGGATCTGGAACGGCGTCGTGAAGGTGATCGGTGCCGCGAGTACGACCGGTGCCGAGGTGACATTCGGCGCCGGGACTCCGAGCGGCGTCGGGACGTGCTCCTGGACCTCGAACGGTGCCGCAAGTCTGGGGCTGGAGACGGCGGGCGCAGCAGGGCAGGCTTGCCCCTGGACTGCAGCTGTCGCGGAGCAGCCGGTGCCGGGAGGTGTGACGGCCCCGGTTCGGTGAAGGCAATCAGGTCCCGTGCCGTTGCAAATGTCTCCGGGGTGGACGGGAGACAAGGTTCCACCACCAGCCTAGGTGGGGAAACAGTCCGCACCGGACTCGACGGCCTCGGTGCCGGAGTCAACGGTGGGCCCGCCTGTTGTGGGCGGTCCAACGGCGGACGCGGCTCTACCCCCGGCACCGAGGGAGCCGGCGTCTTCGGCGCAGCCTTGTCCTGGGTCTTGCGGACCTTCTTGTGGCCCGGAGACAGCGATCGGCGCCGAGGCCCCTGAGGCGGGCGCGGTGCCGACGTCGGTCGGTGCCGTGGTTTATCCGTCGCACCGGTCGGAGCCGCCGGGGCGCTGCGCACGGAGGCGCTCGGTGCCGGGGTGCTGTGCACTGAAGTGCTCGGTGCCGGGACGCTGCGCACCGCAGGAGGGTCCGGACTCAGAGCCGCCTCCATCAGGAGCTGTCGGAGCCTGAAATCTCGCTCCTTCCTGGTCCTCGGCTTGAAGGCCTTGCAGATAGGGCACTTATCTGCGGGATGGGCCTCCCCAAGGCACTTCAAGCAGGAGCTATGCGGGTCGCTTGTTGGCATGTGCTTCCCGCAGGACGCGCACGGCTTAAAGCCAGGAGCCTTGGGCATGAGCCCGGCTGTGCGCCGGGGGGAAAAGGGGGGAGACAACCCCCTAAACCCCCGCTAACTATTTACAACTAAACAAAAAACTAACAATTAACTATCTAAAGAACTATAACAACTATATACAACTATCTACACTAATGAAAATGAGAAAGCTAGGGAGAGTGGAGATCAGCTATGCCGCGCTCCACAGTTCCAACGACCGTCAGGGGCGGTAAGAAGGAACTGAGGGGGCGCTGGGTCGGCTGGGGTATATATCCAGCGCCATAACGGCGCCACTCTAGGGGGCTCCACAGCCGACCCACCGGGGTTGCTAGGGCAAAAATCTTCCGACGATCGTGCACGCGGCGCGCGCACACCTAACTGGAATGGATATGAGCAAGCACTCGAAGAAGAATGCAGGGCGCTCAGGGGAGGGGGCGGAGTTAGGGCGGGGACTTTGGGGAAGGGGCGGAGTTGGGGTGGGAAAGGGGGGGGGGGGGGGGCCGGGGCCCCAGGGAGTGTCCTCTTTTTTTATTTTTTAAATATGGTAACCCTGTTTAGCAGGAAAGAATTGGATTTTATTTCCATGGGGTTCCCAGGCTATTTTAGTTAGGAATGTAAATAACTAGCAATGGACAGAAACTCCTTCCCCCTTCAGTTTCTCTACTTGCTGCGTGGAAAGCTATGATAAAGTAGGTTGCTGGAGAGCCTCCAACTAGAACACTCTTTCAATATTTTTAAATACATAAAAGGCATGAAACCTTCTTGAAGCAAACTCATTTTGGCAGTTACGGACACCTTTGCTAAAAGCTGATCCAATTTGCTTTGAAAGCAAGATGATCCTTAGAGGTTCTACTTATAGACTGCATCCCCCATGTATCAATAGCCATTTCTTATGAAAAATGGTATCACTAATGTTTCCCATAAAACACTTACATACACACACAATTCTCTCTGGCATCTCATTCTGTGGTTTGTAGGGAAAAAAATTCTAGTAGACAGACTATGACACAATATAAACTTACTAAGCCACACTGTTCATCACTTTTATATGAGAGGATCTAGAAAAAGCTATTGTGGGGACCATTAAAAAGTGAATATCTATTGCAAAATTGCTTTGCTGTGGTATAGTCTAAACACAGAAAATATCACAGTAAAGACAATATTATGGTACATGTTTTACTATTTAGTTGCACAGAGTTGAACTGGCTCTTGAATTCATGCATGCAATTCATACTATAAGGCATTCTTACATTTAGAGACAGAACAGCATTTAGAGAATTGACTAAACTACATACAAAATACGGGAGTATTGCGAGTGGTATAGCGCAGCCCAGGCCATATCATTCACTGAAATGATTATAACAGTTCATATTAAATATTTCTTACACAGCAAAATAGTACCAGAGCTCCTTGGCTACTCTCAAATACTCAAAGCTCTTTGTTTGGACAGTATTATACTTGTAAATCCCCTTTGAATGTTGACAACTTAAGCAGATATTGAGAATGCTCAAAATTACCACATGAAGGTGCACACTTATGGTCTGATAAACTCACAACTTCAGCTGAAGTCAGTGAGAGCTAGAGATGCTCAGCCCCTCAAAGTTATGCCCCAATATTAGATAGGAATGAAGAGAAGATTCTTTCAAATGGAGGGGAAAAATCTGATACCAGATATAGTTTTTTCTCAGAAGTCTCTGCATAAGTCAAGGATCAGAAATTCTACACTGAAATACAATTACACCATTTTTATACAATACATGTTTAATTAGCTTTAGAGCAGTTTCCTTGATAACAAACATAGCAATCAAGTGAAAGTTTGCATTTTCAAAATACACATCTACCATCTTAATCACCAATAACCGAAGCCTGGTTATTTTACAATGGTCATAGATTATTTACATCTCTTCACAATCAAGTTATTCTGCACCGTATAACTTCCAGTTCCTGTTATCCTTTGATAGTGCTACGATGTTGGATAAAAGAAGCTACACACACAATCTTTTTTATTTAAAAATATTCTTTGATAGCTAATAACCACCATCTACTACTTTTCCTTTGGAAATCTAGTATGCTCTCTTCTTCCTCAATTAAACTTTTCCATTTTTTATGGAAAGATTAAGTTACAATGTTATGAAGCTTCAAGTCTTCAGCAGTTTCATTGGACAGACAAATGACATACTATAAGGATGAATTAATTTTGTCCGTTTTTATTGGAGCAGATAGCGATCCATAGATCTGCACCTGGAAGAGAAACCCTACATTCCTGGATCTACCCAGGGTCACACAGTAGAAAATGTGCCACCCCTTCACCATCCTGCCATCTCCTGTGCCAAGACTTTGTGGAGGAAGCTCTGCAGATCCTTGCACAGCGGAAAAGATGAGAGTAAGAGACACTGCACACTGTCTCACCCACACATGTGGAGAATCTGACGAGCAGAGAGTGCAACCCTCTCTACAGTAGGAGAACCAAATTAAAAACAAAATCTTAAATGGCCACGTGTAGGTGCAATCACAAACAAATGCAGAAATGCAAGAATTGCCTCACTAGAGAAGACTGGTGTCCACTAAGTCCGGTGATCTGTCTCTGACAGTGGTTAGAACCAGATGCTTCAGACGAAAGAGCAAGGATAAGGGAAGCAAGTTCTTAGATCATGCTGGCACATTTGAACATTTTTACTCCCAATCCCTTTTTGAATCTTTCTAAACTCTTGGCCTCAAAGCTATACGACAGAAGCACAATTGTGTTTATAACTTTATCTGAACAAGTGGGTCTCTGTTTTTGTTGAAAACGTTGCCCAAATGCATCTTTACACACTGTATTCATACTCTGACAACATCATGCACAATCACCAAAACATTAAAGGAAAAAACTTTCAATAAAAGGTAAACTGTTACTTTTTGGTGGGACAGGGATGGGTAAGGAGTTTAGACACATATTTAAAATATGAGGACGTTCCTTTACAGAAGTGTTTTGGATGAAAAAAGATTTAATGACCATTTATTCCAGGATGGTCGAAGATACTTTTAGTATATGGTAGCAAGCTAGTCAAAGAAGTGGGCAGTGGTGAGGATGAGTGGGGTAGCAGGGAATATTCCATCTATCAATGGCCAGTTTTGGAGAGGAAAGTTCTCTTAATAACTTCACAGAAATGAAATTTTTCAATACATAACATCTCCCCCTAAGACACTAGACAAATGGGAGGAGCCCAAATTATTAAATGGCTTCATTTTGTACCTGCCAAAAATGGGAGGAGGGGGGGAAGAGCTCTCATTATCTGCAATAGTTTAAAGACTTTATTTTGATATTGTTAAAAGTTCTGTCATTCAAGGCCTGCTTGACCATAGTTCTCTTTTTCCTCAGTTAACGAAAACTATAATAAAATTATATTTTAAAATAAGGAAAATGATAGCAGGAGACTTTCAGGAAAGAATGCTTAAGGTATAAATATCAGTGTAGTGGAACCACCACTTATTATGCTTTTTGTGAAACATTTATCTTTGGGTGATGTATTTGCTGAAATGCTTCCATATCTAGATTAAAACACAGAAGTACTGACTTGCTAAGAATGAGAGATGGTCATTGCAAAAAATAATAATAAAGTTGATGTCATCCATCCAGACTACTATCCTGTAAGACTGCATCCTCTCTGAAAGTAGTTTAGGAAAGAAGGGTGAAAATCAGCCCTAGGTAAGCGGGTGCAACTCTACTGACTTCAAAGAAATTGCACCTGCACTGGAAGTGGTTCATTTATTTTTTATTTTTATATAAAAGCTTACTTGAAGGTCAGTGAAAATTAAACTTTTGATCTATTTTTGATTTTCAAAGGGGGCAATTAACCTCCTTTATAATTTGGTAAAAATGAATTTTCCAAGATATTAATAAATTTATGTTTCATTTGTGCTTTGAAGTACCGGTACCATTCTATAAGCTTTTTTCTCCTTTGAATCTTTTCTTGTAAGCTCATATTTTTCTCTTTTTCTAAAACAGCAGGAAGTTCTTCCCAGTTTTTAATAAAGATAAATGGAGCCCCCATGGTCTTTAGTAATTGCAGTGGAGCACTGTGGTATATAGATGAATTTCCACAGTTGCCTGGTGTCATTACATCTTCTACAACAGGAACAGAGCCATATGAACAAGCTTCATAAATTCTATAGCATTCTGTATTTACTCCCACTGGGCACAATGTGAGATCACTCTGCAGCAATGCATCTTGATAGATTCTAAAACTTTCATTTGTTTCTTGAGGCTGCCACCTAGAAAAATAAAGAAGTTGAAAATTAACATTACTTTTTCCCTCCAAGGGTAGATGTATTACAATGAAAAATAGAGGTCCATGTTATAATTTTAGTATATATAAATGTTGCAGAGCTGCAAGGTTTGTAACAACAGATCTGAGAATCAGCAAGGTTTTATGTTTCAATCCACATATTCCTAAATAATTTTTTTCAGGTATTTATAGAAAAGTTCACCTGTAAGCTATAAATGCTATAAGAACAGTTTTCAACTGAGGGCCTTTAAAGGAATCATCAATACTTCAAGCACCCAAAAAAAATAATTTTTTTTTAAAATAATTTTGCACTGGAAGCCCCTATCAATTTACTTCATAAGCTTCACTAGAAGGTTATTAAGTGGCTCAAAAATAGGCATATGGAGATAGAATGTTCTGACAGACTTTTTGAAGCAAGAATAGTTACCCCCCCAAAATATTTAAAATCAGCAGGGGGATTTACTGTTCAGAAATGAGAATGTAAGGCAGCAATTGTCAATCTCTTCAATTTGCTCAGACGGTCCGAGGTACTGTGTGTGACAGCACTCTAGGCCATAGATACTGTATAATCTCTCTCTAGATTCTATATTAACCTCTCTCAAGTTCTTTTGTCCAAAATTTTCAGAAAAAGCGTTAAGTTGCCTCTAGTTTTATTAAATGCCTTTTAAAATTTATAATAAAGGTTTTTTAAACCTTCCATGAGAACAACTGTACAAACTAATTAAGAGTAGAATTAATTTGTTTGGTTTAATCATGATGAGAGTCCACCCCAGGGGTGGGCAAACTGCGGCCTGGGGGCCATATCTGGTCCTCAAGCTCCCGCTAGGGAGCGGGGTCCAGGGCTTGCCCCGCTCTGCGGCTCCACGTGGCTCCCAGAAGCAGCGGCATATCCCCTCTCCGACTCCTATGCGTAGGGGGCTCCACATGCTGCCCCTGCCCCAAGCGCCGCCCCCGCAGCTCCCATTGGCCAGGAACCACGGCCAATGGGAGCTGCAGGGGTGGCGCCTGCGGACAGGGCAGTGTGCGGAGCCCCCTGGCTGCCCCTACTCGTAGGAGCCAGAGGAGGGACATGCCGCTGCTTCTGGGAGCTGCTTGAGGTAAGCACCGCCTGGAGCCTGCACCCCTGACCCCCTCTGGCATCCCAACCAGAGGTATTCTATTATTGTTTAACATTTTTGTAATCACTTGACAGCTCTAGTTGCAATGTATAACTATCTCTAGCTGAGACTGCAATGAAGGCAGAACCAATAAAGGTACTCTATTTCTATGTCTATTTTCCAGTCTCTTCTTTGATATGGTCATCTTCTTTTCAGCACATTTCTCTGCCCATGCCTTTATTGGTTCTGCCTTCATTGCAGTCTCAGCTAGAGACTGCAATGAATACATTGCAACTAGGGCTGTCAAGTGATTAAAAAAATTAATCGCGCTATTAAACTATAATAGAATACCACTTTAAACATTTTTGGATGTTTTCTACATTTTCAAATACAAGTACTGTAGTGCAATCTCTTTATCATGAAAATTGAACTTATAAATGTAGAATTATGTACAAAAACTGCATTCAAAAATAAAACAACATAAAATTGTAGAGCCTGCAAGTTCACTCAGTCCTACTTCTTGTTCAGCCAATCGCTCAGACAAACAAGTTTGTTTACATTTGCAGGAGACAGTGCTGCCCGCGTCTTGTTTACAGTGTCACCTGAAAGTGAGAACAGGTGTTCACATGGCACTGTTGTAGCCAGCGCTGCAAGATATTTATGTGCCAGATGCGCTAAAGATTCATATGTCCCTTCATGCTTCAACCACCGTTCCAGGGGACATGTGTCCATGCTGATGACGGGTTCTGCTCGAAAACAATCCAAAGCAGTGCAGATCGATGCATGTTCATTTTCATTATCTGAGACAGATGCCACCAGCAGAAGGTTGATTTTCTTTTTGGGTGGTTCAGGTTCTGTAGTTTCTGCATCGGAGTGTTGCTCTTTTAAGACTTCTGAAAGTATGCTTCACATCTTGTCCCTCTCAGATTTTGGAAGGCACTTCAGATTCTTAAACCTTGGGTTGAGTGCTGTAGCTATCCTTAGAAATCTCACATTGGTACCTTCTTTGCGTTTTGTGAAATCTGCAGTGAAAGTGTTCTTAAAATGAACAACGTGCTGGGTCATCATCTGAGACTACTATAACATGAAATATATGGCAGAATGTGGGTAAAACAGCAGGGGACATACAATTCTCCCTCTAGGAGTTCAGTCACAAATTTAATTAATGCATTATTTTTTTAATGAGCGTTATCAGCATGGAAACATGTCCTTTGGAACGGTGGCGGAAGCATGAAAGGGCATACGAATGTTTAGCATATCTGGCACGTAAATACCTTGCAATGCCAGCTACAAAAGTGCCATGCAAATGCCTCTTTTCATGTTCTGGTGACACTGTAAATAAGAAGAGGGCAGCATTATCTCTTGTAAATGTAAACAAACTTGTTTGTCCTAGCGATTGACTGAACAAGAAGTAGGACTGAGTGGACTTGTAAGCTCTGAAGTTTTACATTGTTTTGTTTTTGAGTGCAGGTATATAATAAAAAAACCCTATATTTGTAACTTGCACTTTCACAACAAATAGATTGCACTACAGTGCTTGAATGAGGTGAATTGAAAAATACTATTTCTTTTGTTTATCATTTTTAGCGCAAATATTTGTAATAAAAATATACACTTTGATTTCAATTACAACACAGACTACAATATATATGAAAATGTAGAAAAACATCCAAAATATTTAATAAATTTCAATGGGTATTCTATTGTTTAACAGTGCAATTAAAACTGTGATTAATCGCGATTAATTTTTTTTATCGCAATTAATTTTTTTTGTTAATTGCATAAGTTAACTGAAATTAATTGACAGTCCGAATTGCAACTTTGAAGACTTCTTCCTAGTTTTATATTCTTCCACCTATTCTAATAAATTAACCTATCTTAAAAAATAGATTATTATTCATACACTGAATATGGAAAACTGAAAACAATCAAAATATAACTTTTCACATTAAAAATACTCTTAGTATTATTTATATTTTAAAGGGAGTAAGTATTCCATTAAGGGTGACAGAACTGGCACCTTAATCTACAGTTCTATTTGAACCCTGAAAATCTCTGTGTTAAGAGTATCCTTTTTGTAAACCTATATGGCTTATATATGTTAATTCTAAAATGGCCTGTGTGTTTAATTCTAAAATCTGAAATTCAAAAAAGAAAATAATTCTTTTTGAGATGGTATCAAGTGATCAAACGTAATCCCTCAATCGCCTTGACAGCCATGTCACTCCTTCCTGCAGTCCACCCGTTCTCCTTTTAGGAGCTGTACAAAACTTTATTATGAGTTTAAATAATAGATGAAAGACAGTTTAGATTTTTTAAAAGCATCTCATCCTCTTTAAGGGAATACCTATCAAATCCTGCCAAGGTTTAATTTGTCAAAAGCAAATTAAAAAGAACCATTAGAACTTATTTCAGTTAGTCAGATGATCCGTTCTACCTCCTGAAGACACGAAATAAACTATATTGTTTAGCTGAAGCCAGCATCTTTATACGCGGTTGATGACAAAGCTCTGGTTTCATGTCTCCCTCTTCTGGTAGGTGGATAATATCCACAGGATGTATGACACAGATTTTGAATACCCACTGCCACTTCCACCAAAACCAGGTATGTGTGAGAGGAGACAGGACTGGCTGTATTATGTTAGATATTTCTTTCAAACTATTTCAAGTCACAACCACAATGTAAAGTACTGCAGCACACAAGGTGTTAAGGCATCCAAGATCTGTATGAAAATCTCAGCTCAGCAAGGTTTTCATTGTTTTAAGTTTGACCATTGTCATTATTTATACTATTTTATTTATAACATATTTTAAAAGAGATGACCTATGGTCATCAATGATCTAGGCAAGGGGCTTTGAATAATTCAGCTACCAAACTATACATTTACAAAGTAAATCATAGCTCTTACTGTTCTCTGGCTGCAATCCAACAGAGTTTATCAAGCCCGTCTTGTTTCAAAACTTCCATTAGGTTCTCCCTGGATGAATTCTTATACACCGTTCCTAAAAAATTACATAGATATGATCTTGGAGAACGTAGCATTGACCAGTTGGGCTCTACGATGGGGAAATTCCTATATCTGTAACAACAATGCATACATTAGATGAAAATATTTTTATGTCAAAGGAAAAAGATGGGTCTTTGCACCATTTCATGTTTATGTAGCAGATTTTAAGAACTGAAATAGCTTTGTAATCAGTTCCAATATTTAACTACTGACTGAATTTAAAAAACAAAGATAGCCAAACACTGATGGATAATATTTATCATTATCCCTTTGTTTTTAGATGAGTATTCTGTAGCATGTGTACATAATTCCACTTGGTGCTGACAAAAAGAAGTTAGGGATCTTCTAGGGCGTGAATCAGAAAAAAAACATTCTGTTTCAATAGCAGCTGTTCTCAATACCACCACTTATTTTGGCTGAAGTTGCTGGGTTAGTGGTTCCTTTGGAGTTGACACCTCAATTATTTGAATCAGCTGAAAGTGTATGCTGTAAAAACAATGCCATTGGTATACTGCCAAATGAAAACTCAACTCGGTCCCTACAACCTGTGCATCTTCACCAATTTAATCTGTGAATTACACTTAAAGTTACTGATTTTAGTCATAACAGCACCAATGGTTCAGCTAAAGGGCTGGCAGAGTCATTTTCATTATCTAGATCTAATTTACCACACTTTTGTATGTTAGTATTAAATTACATGTCCCTCTTACAGCTGTCACATTCTCAAAATTAGCTATGATTTTCTTTCTAACTTTGTTATTTTTAGAGAGTGGGTCAATAATACTGCTAGTTTCCCTTCTATTTCTATATTCTTTCTATATTATTACAGTAAGGAAACAATTTGGAAAAAAACATACATTGATCACAAAATTTTCCTAGTTTCAAAACAAGCCTTTAGTCTTACTCCTGGGGGAATTCTGTGCCACTGCACATGCACAGAATTCATGTCCCCCGCAGATTTCTTTGCTTCCCCAGAGAAAAATGACTTTCTGATGGGGGAAGCAAAGGGAAGCCACAAGAGCAGTCATGTGACCCTCCCCAGCAATATGTTTTAGGTGCCCAGGGCAGCCAGCAGAGAGCTAAATCACTGTGGGGCAGGGGGCGGGACTGGGGAAGACCCGGCTGGTGGATCCTACCCTGCGCTGGGCTCAACTGCAAGTCCCGGCTGGGTCAGACCCACCCTCAGAGTCCCATTACTGTTGCACCCATACCCCCCCCCCCAACAAGCCTCTGTGCATTCAAATCCCCCACACACACCTGGATCCCCCACTGAGCAGCCTGCCCCCAGACTGACCCAAACAGAACCCTCTCAACCCACACCTTGATCCCCCCACACTGAGCCCCTCCACACTTGGATCCTGCCAGGCTAAGCCTGCCTGCCCACACCTGGCATGGAGGGGCAGGGCCATAGGGTGTTTCTGGGGCAGGCCTGGTCCTTGCTCTGTGTCAGATTTGGGTGCAGCCTCACCACTGGGTCCATGTCCCAGGGGAGAGCTGCACAGTGATCTCCCTGCTCTGTGCAGCCAGTGGCCTGTGCTCCCCAATGCCACGCTGGAGTCTCCACATTTATTTGACAAATAACATTTGCAGAATTTTAAAATATTGTGTGCAGAATTTTTAATTTTTTGGCGCAGAATGCCCTCAGGAGTACTTTAGTCCATCCTCACTTTCCTTGGCTTCTCCACTGCCTTTGGTACTGTTGATCATACGCTCCCCTTCTGAACATCTTATTCCTCACCCCCACCTGGGGCTTTCATGACTCTGTCCTTTCCTGGTTCCCCTGCTATTTCTTTGGGCAGTAATTCAGCACTTCTTTCAGAGGTTCTCTCTCTTCCTTGCCCTTGTTTCTCTCTGTAGGTTACCTACCAGACTTTGTACTTGTTTCTTTCCACTTCTCTCTGTCACTCCCTCACCCACTCTTCATGTGGGTAATTGCATCCATTTACATGGCTTTAACTTCCACTTTTACATCAATGACTGCAAATCTACCTTTCCACTTCTGACCTCTCCCTCTTTTTTTCACCCCCTTACCCCTGCATCCCAACTACCTCTAGGGCATTTCCTCCTAGTTGTCTCATTGTCATCTTAACATGTTCAAAACTGAATATATCTTTCCTTACAAACACTGATTCTTTGCCACTGTGGAGGCTCCATGTTTACTTTCTGTCAATGGCATCCTGAGCAAATTTCCTTTGGTTTCAATAAAAACATGTTTTCTAATGGCCAGCATTGCAAATTCAACATGGATCTGAAAATTAAGCTTTCTGGCTTGCATTATTACCATTGATAATAGAGATTCTGCAGTTGGAATAATTCTGTTAAGACAGGAGTAAGACAGGAAAGAATGAAGATAACTCTCCCATAGCTGTATCCACTCTACAACACTAACAGGATTAAAATGTAGTAAACATTTATTGCAAGGCATCTTACTATGATCCCAGAGTTTACCAATTACAAAAATTCAAGGGGTATAAAATCAAATCCCAGTTTATTAGCCACAAGAGAAAGAAACACTACCCTCAATGCCCCCCCTAACTCCCCCCAGGGAAAAAAAAAAAAGTACTCTCAATACGTCCAAACTGGATTCCCTTATTAGGCCCCAGGCCTCTTACTGAAGTTCCTCCAACTCTTTCCTGCAGCAGAGCTTTCCATAGACTGACTTCCCTCTGAAAAATCTCTTTTTACCCTGGATAAGGGTCCCAGCCTGCCCTCATCTTAAAGAGAGAGTAATCCACCACACTTACTTTTTGCCACTAAATTCTAGTCTAGGCTATTCTGGTTCTTATTATGTGTTCAGAGTGCCTTTCAGAGTGAAAAAACATACAAGATGACTTATATCGGCATATTAACGTTTCTTCGCTAGTCCTCCCCCAACCCAGCTGTGGGAAGCTATATCATTTTTAATGTTGTTTAATCCTAATGTAAATGTTAATAGTTGGTAATGTCAGCAGATATGGCAAATTTGACTGAACAGTCACAAGAAGCAAATTATTGAATTAATACGGTACCCCTTGAACACACTAACTTTTTAAAACATAGCTGTACTTTAACTTCTGAATTACCTTTTGCCTTTAAAATTTCTGAAGCCTAATTTAGATAGTCAAAACCAGCAGCATGAACCAAAGTCAAGTTCCGCAGCTTGCTTAACAGTTTTAGACAGCAGAAATTATATACAATTTTTTATATATAAAATGTTTCAGACATAATGTTACAGATATAACTGTTAAAACAATAGGCATGTACAGTTCATGCATAACTGATTCCTTAAGTGTAATTTGTTTATGTTTAACACTTACGTAGCTACTCCTAAAGGCCACTGGAAAATATCTTCTTCGTTTACCCAGGTACAGTCGTATACTACAAAAAGTAGTTCCACAAATCCTCCGTGTCTTTTCAGGTATGGGTGAATCCATTCATTGTTACACTGTTCACTTCCAAGCAGCACAATGGCAACATGCCTCAGCTTGCGAGTTTGTTTTAAAGTTTGTGCATAATGCAACCACTGAGTGGCATAAGTGATCTTTGCTTCCTCTCTTCCATTCAGAACTAGAACCACATTAGCAGCTTCTACTGAAAAGTATCCCGGGACTACGGCTGGACCAGTGATGAAACTGTGAATAATAAAACACAAACACTTGACATCTTCTGAGATATGTTACCAACTTTTATGCATATTCTGTTCACTGCATTGCAAACAATCTGCCTGCAGTGTTTAGAGATTTTGTGTCTTCATTAAAACAGACATTATGTACTGCAAAGTACCTTTGCTATTGTGACAAATTTCAGATGTACAGAGTCTAAAACGACAATTTAAACTTCAGTAAAGCTCACATTGGCCTTTTACCTGAACAATAAAGAGATTAAAAATTAATTGCAAACATGGTATATTTGCAGGATCAGAACCCAAGTATTTACGGACATGTTTAACTTCACATCTGTGTGTTGTCCCATTTACTTCAATGAGACTACACACATGCATAGGT